GTAATTATAACATAATTGTTAACTAAACAGAAAGATAACTAGATTTAACTTTAAATGAGGAGTTTGTTATAAAGTAATTAAATATTATGAAACTATTCTTATATAAGTCTTCATTATAATTTGTTAGCATTATTCCTGCTGTAAAAGTCAATTGTAATGTAAATAATAAAAACATTATAATTACATCAATGATAATGATAATGATTAAAATGTTTTTTATAAACTGTGACTTCGAAGACCAAAAATATTTCTCAATTTCGCAATTCACAATCACTCAATTCGAACCTTAATATTTTATGAGCATTTTCAGTAGTTCTGTGCGGTTTCATGTAATCTGGTGCATAAATATGTACTATTTATTTAGAAATGTCTTAGTTTAAATCATAAGAAAATTTTTCAAGTTACTGTGTATTGACTTAACATGGCAGTTTATATGCATATATAAACTGCCATGTTAAGTCAATACACAGTAACTTGAAACAGTAACTATATAAACTGCCTGGGTATAACTATTTTATAAAATGTGTACTTGACCCATATTTAAAGGATGATGAGGAGAAATGAGATTGGTCAGTCGCAAACTCTAACTTATATCAATTTTATAATTTAGTAAAAGTTAAAGTTTCAAATAATGCATTTAAAATGCTTATAAAAATAGTTTACACAACCCATGTTTTTAATAACTTATTGCTAAAGTACATACCAAATCAGTACCTTTTTAAGTATGACCACATAATAATATTTGGCTGCATGTGACCACAGTTTTAATGCATTTACGTCATATCATATTGACAGTTGTGGTTGGACAATATTTTGAATAGCATAATGAAAATCATCAAAAAAATTTTTGTAGTTGTAAAAATTAAAGTAGCTGTTTTTGACATACTCAAATTTCTATTATGTAGATACTGATGTCAAATGAAGTTGGCTTGTAAATAGTTTAGGTAATAAAAGCTAACCCTAACTCCATCTGACCCCTAATAGCCTTTTTCCTTGAATTATGACTAGGAAAGCAAAAATCTTGGACATTTTCACTCCCAGGATTTAAGGGTTAAGAAACTTGTCTTTAGGAAATCCCTGGATTGAAGGAAAAAAATGCAATAGAAAAACTAAAGTTTTAAGTACTCATCAAACACTTTAAAATGTATAATTTAATGATAATATAAATAAAATACTTCATTCATTAATGAACCTAAGTAATTTAAATTACAAAACAATACCTTAAAATGATAACACAGTATAAATAAAAATAATAACTCAAAATAGTTTAAACCTGCATGAATATACATGATTTATATTTATTTTTAAAAGTACTACCCTAAAAAATCAAAGCATCAATAATTTTATTACTAAATCATATTAGATTTTTTAAACAAAAAAATCCAGCAGCTGAGAATGCTTATTTGGATTCCTTACTTGTTGGCCGTATAGATAGTATTAGTCATATGTTTTTTCAAAAAAAAGTCTTAAGCTACCACTTATATCAAATAGGGGTATTTTTTTTTTAATTTTGAAAATTGTTTTTCTACCCTTATAGGTTGTTTTGTAAATTTGTCAATCCTTTTTCCATAACTTCATTTAATTGTTCACTAATTGTTTTGACATTATTATCACATTTGTGGCTTAAAAAAGTCTGATTCAACTGAACACAACTATCACTACTCAAGTCTGCTGCTGCTATTATATCTGCTGAGTTTAACCACTTTACCAGGTTTATCACAGTCTTTTTCATTTTGGGTTTTTTTATTTAGTACAAAAGTTTTTGGGATTTTTTATGAAGTAATCTGGCAAGGAAAAGGTTGATGGAAGAGTTGAAGGTTGTATGAGTCAGGAAAAGCTAAAGGTGGGAGAGAGTTCCAAAGGGTTGAAGTGTAAATAAAAGTTTTTGGAGGTTTAAAGACAAATAAAAAGGTTTGAAAAGGGTTGAATAATTACAAATAAAAGGTTTTGGAGCATGCAGGGACAGATACAGTATAAGAATGAGAATTTGATAAATGATGAGTCAAGCGAGAATGAGTTTTAGTTGATAGAACTAAAGATGAAAGCTTGTTTGAGCTTTGAAATGGAATACCCTCTGAATTGTGACATGGCGTTTGCAAGCAAGTTGGAGAATGTATTTAATTAAATTATTGCTGACTCACAGTTCCTTTCTTAAAGAAATCCTAAAGTGTCAAGCCAAGTTGTGTTCATATTAAAAAGGATGTTTTAAAAAATTCTTTTGGCTGAATTTAATTTAAGTAAAACACAATAATAAATGTATTTAAAAAAAAACTAACTTTGTAGTTTTACTTGAAGCTCTTCGTCTCCATGTTAGTGTGTGTTTTTAAGTCCTAAAAATATACTTTGCAAAACTTTATAATTTATTCAAGCTGGTTTAATTCCAAAGTATTTCAGTATTAAAAATGACATCATTGTAGAATTTTTTTAAATCATTTTTTTTTAATCAATATTATTTGTTTTTGTTTTATTTGTTTTTTATAATAAGTCTTTATTATCAATTGTATGACTTTCATAAATTTTACAGGAAGCTAAACAAAAGAATGTTTTTTTATAGATCCCAAGAACCAATTAAAATAAAGATTTTTATGATACACTCTTAAATATAATAAATATATAAAAAAAACATTAATCACCTTATTATATATTCTAAATCTTTTATTTTTGTGTAAAAAAATGTGAACTTTTTTTCTAGTTTATCAAAGCTGTTTATTGCTAAGACGTTTTAGTTCTCCTATCGAAATAACATTTTACAAGTTCTTAAGTTTTTGATTAATAAATAATTTTGGTAAAAGAGATTATTTATTAGAATTATTTACTGAATTCTTTAATTTTTAGTTAAAAATTTAACAAATTTAACAAATTTGCAGATCAGATCATATTTGAAAATCAGCGTTTTATTAATTAAAGCAATAATTAAGGCTAGGCTATATAGCTACGGTGAAGGTAACTTACCTATAGCTACTGGGACGGAATGTGACCAAAATAAAACATTGTCTGAATTCTTTAATGAGATTCATATTATGCTTATAATATAAAACAATTACATGCTGAAATTTTTTATACATATATATATATATATATATATATATATATATATATATATATATATATATATATATATATATATATATATGTATATATATATATATATATATATATATATATATATATATATATATATATATATATAAGGCTTTCCCAGGAAAGGCGTGCGGTCGCACGCCTTGTTTGTCCACGCATAGAATAAATTTTTCTGACTAACTGACCACGTTTTATTATTATGCGTTTCAAGAATTCACGCCAAAACAAAGCTAAACGAAAATACCGCAAAAATGCAAGCAATCCTTAAGTAAATATCAGAAATCTGTTTTTGCTTTAAAATTAAAAAATTAATGTATATTATTAAAAAAAAATTTACCTAGATTTTATTTATTTATTTTTTTAGGGTGGTAGTTATTTTAGCTATAAAAAATCAAATCAATAAGAAAAATCAAATCAAAGAGAAAAAGATTAATGTTTAAAGAAAATAAAAGGACCTTTTAATGTAAATTTGTTTATGACTTTTATCAGTCAGTAATACTTTAAAATTCACGATAGAACTATAAACAATTTTTAAATGTTTTGTAAATACATTTAAATGTTTAAGTGTATTGATTTAAATGTTTGAATGTATTGATACGCAAGAAAACACGAAAACGATTGCTATTTATTAGTAAAATATATTGTTGTTTTTTTATTTTTTTTTTTTTACTTCTTTCGTAATTACAAAATTATGCAATTGAATAATTTCAACGTAATAAAAGGCTCCGTATAATCAGTTTAGAATAAGTCGAGAAAGAACTTTTTTCACATTAAAATTTTGTTATGTTTAAAATCTGAAATAATATATTTAATAAATAAAACAGCAACTTATTTTCTTGTCAAAGTATTGGGGAATAAAGTCAACGCCTTTACATAAACTTTCGTAAAAACTAGAGTAAATGAAAAAGTTTAACCAAATTTGTCTAGCGTAAATAATGAATCAGTTTTTTAATACATTGTCTGATAAAGTTCGTGAATAAATTACGTATCAAGTCTTTTTATTTTCGTGAAAACTTTACGACTTATCGTCGTCTTTCCCTTGACTTGTATCAAATTTCGTAGCTGAAAATAGCAACCCTTAAAAAAGCAAACAAAAACAGTATAAAAAGTTTGAAAAAAATGTTAAAGACTTTTTTTTTTTTGCTACAAGAATTTTTTTTTTTAATTTTTTTTTTTATTATCAAAATATTTTTCTTACATCCAATTTCAATTTTATACTTTGTTTAGACTTCGTTTCCTTTTTTTAATATTATTTTTTATTCTCTGAGAATAATTTCCGCTTTCACACGAAATATTGCCGCGGTCACGTTTTCTGAAAAACTTATTCTATGCGTGGACAAACAAGGCGTGCGACCGCACGCCTTTCCTGGGAAAGCCTGATATATATATATATGTATATATATATATACATATATATATATCAAAAATACTAGTGTCTCTATTTTTGTTTTATTTCTATCAGGGCTGTGGAGTCGGAGTCGTGGAGTCGCGACATTTTTAGCGGAGTCGGAGTTGTTAAAAAATATCGCGACTCCGACTCCAATAGTAAAACTTATCAGTATTGCACATGCATGTACAAAATATTCAACCTTCAAAGAATTTTGAATATATTTAGCAAAAAAAAAAAATTTTAATTATTGCGTAACATTTTTTGAAGAACTAGAAGAATTTTTTAAATTCTTTATAAAAAAATTCTTCAAAATTGGCGATGCAATACAAATTAACAAATTACAAATTACTAGATCAATAAGTTGATTTCAATTCATTTGTTTAGGGTAAGTTGTTCGTACAAGATAAGTGTAAATAAAATAAATAATAAAAGTGTGCCATAATTTAAATTATTTTGTGCGTTAATAGTGGTCATTGATACAGTTAACAAAAAAGGTTTGTGGTTAATTTAAATTTGAACAATATTCAGG